TTTATAATTCCTTACCACTCTGGCCTCGTGTGTTCCTCCTTTGATGACCCTAACACTGGGTTCGATTCAGGTTAAGGTCAAGTACCTTTGTTGTAGGCTCCTCCCTGGAATGGGCCCTGGTCTGGGCTCTAGCAGGAGGCAACCAATCAATGTGTTTCTCTCACATCAATGTTTCTCTCTGTCTTTCCCTCTGTCTTCTACTCTCCCCAAAAGTCAATGGAAAAATATCCTTGGGTGAGGATTGACCAAATAATAATAATAATAATTTGTATAGTAAGCCTGATACTGTCCTAACTCTGGAGATTTCTCTCTTTTGTGCCAATAAAATTTTACTATGTCAATAGTTGGAGTTAAATATTCTTTTACTTGCAACCTAAAACATCCTATCATATATCTTGTGTGACTGGTATATTTTTAATTTGAAAGAGATAAAATGAGGATCTTGCATTCTAAATCTTAAAATGTGCAATGGATATTCTATAGTAAAAATGTGTGATATTAAATTTTGGATGAAAGTGGTGAACTATTCAGTGAGTATTAAGACCCCAAAATCTTTAGGAAAAAAAGATCCCTCCCTCCTTGCCATCCAAGATAAAAGGGAAGGAGGAGCAAACAAGAATGTAAAAGTTACCAACAGTGACCAAACAGGAAAAGGAGAAGGGCTGAAGGAGACAAACTCGAGGAAATGCCGGCTCATGTAAAAAACAGAAGTTTGACAGGATCAGGGTGAGGTCATGTGCCCACCTCCCAGAAACCACACCTGGCCAGTCCACAAAACCCTGACACTTCTCACTCAAATTCTGAAAAAGGAATAACAATCTATTCTTAGCTTTTCCCATTTTGGATTATGGGGTAGTGAAAATGGCTGCAATGGAGTCAAAGAAAAAAGAGAAATGTCTGCCATCAGCATGGCTGTCAGCGTCTGAAGCCTCAGGGACCCACGGAATGGGGAACCGACGCTTAAAGCTGCCTCTGAAAGAGGGGGGAGCTGTCCCTCTCCTTCCCCCAAGGAGCGGTGAAGCCGCCTATATTCAACTCGGTCTCATGCAGGAGGGAGGGCCCAGTCATTGCAGCACAACTCCATCCTCCAGGCTCAAAGGCTACGGAAAATCAGGAAAGGGGCTAATAAGCCCTCACACTGTCACCCAGAAAAGGGAAAGTAAAAGGACCTGATGTAAGGATCAACTGTCGCCCGCAGAGGAGGAGCAAATAGAAAGTGTGGAGAAAGCTGGCAAGCCTGGCCAAGGTAAAACACCAGACTAGCAGCTATGCTCCAAGAATAAAGAATCAGAATGAAAAGATGATAGATAAAGACTCAAAGGGCTTAGATTTCTCAACAGAAACATTGGAAGCAAGAAAACAATAGAATAATGACTTAAAACTGTGAAGAAAAATAATTTCTGAAGGAGAATTCTATACAATCCAAGCCATCAATCAAACTTGAGGGTAGAACTTTTTGGATATGGAAGGTCTTTATAATACCTACTTCCATTTCTCGAGAAACTCCTGGTTGTTTGTGATCCACCAAAATGATGGAGTAAGCTAAGGAAGAGAAATGCCTGAATACAAGAAACGAGGACCCCGAAATAGAGGAGAAGCAAAGGAAGCATAGAGCAGACACAGAAGAAATGCATCCTTGAGAAGCTGTAACCACAAGTTGACCAAAATTGTGCCCAAATTCACATCACTCAGCTGGTCCAGAAAACAGAAGCTGGGAAATTTTCTTAATTGTCCCAAAACTAGTTGTACCCTGGGCTTCTGACAGAAGCAAAGGCAAATTCTTTCTGAAAGAAAATACCCTCTTCCTAGGCCTCAACTAATTTCCAGTAATAACATTTCAGGGACAATGAGTGGCTGCCGGTCAGATGTGGCCAAGCACACACAGGAAGCCAGGCACCAGGGACAAGAACCACAAAAGCCCTCTGACAATGGCACCACACAGGGGACTGCATGTGGTGGAATTTCCACAGCAAAACTGAAAACATAGGTTGACTGCTTTTAAAGAAATTTCAAGAAGACTCCACAGGGGACAGGAGACTTTAACCACTGACTTTGGATGTCCCTGAGACCATCCTGGTTCAAGTTTTGCCAGGAGGGCTTCCGGGACTCAGGTACAATCCCAGCTAAGAATTATTACCATCCTATATAATAAAAGGCTAATATGCAAATAGACTGAACGGCGGAACAACTGAACAACCGAACAACCGGTCGCTATGATGTGCGCTGACCACCGGGGAGCGAGTACGGAACATGGTGGGCGTCAGCCGCAGCGGGATGGTGGAGCAGGTGAGTGGGGGTACCAGATCAAGGCAGGGCGCCGGTCACAGTCATCGGGGCAAGCCTCTGGTGGTTACTGAGAATTCTTTGCTCCCACGCGCCACGGTCCCACCCAGCACTCACACCTGCTGCTGGCACCAGAGCTGCCACTTGCACCTGCTGCTGGTGCCGGAGCTGCTGCTTGCACTCACTGACGGCACCCGGCACTGGCCCCGATCGCTTGGCACCATTAGCGGGTGCAAGCAGCAGCTGCCGGCCCCGATCACCCCTCAGGGCTTCTCCACCTCCCCCTGCTCCTGAGGGGTGGTCAGGGCAGCAGCTGCTGCTCGCACCTGCTGACAGCACCAGCCCCGCTTGCACCCACTGCTGGCGCCAGCCCTAATCGCTCTGCACCATCAGCAGGTGAGGGGGGCTGGCGCCATCAGCATGTGGGAGTGGCGGCAGTGGGAGTGGGGCTGCCAACAGATAGGGGGCTGGGGGCCACAGTGGGAGAGGGTGTATGGGGGCATGGAGGATGGGCCAAGACCTACCCCTGTGCCCACTGCAGCCTTGCGGCTCACAGTTCCTTTCAAGGTGCACGAATTCATGCACCGGGCCCCTAGTGAAAGATAAAAAGCAAAGTCAGGATATGGGGCAAAGGAAGGAAGCCGGTGAGAAGTGTGTTGACTTTTAGGAAGAAATTTTGTAGGTGTTTGTATGATGATTTTAACATATTTAAAAATCATTTCAAACATACATGCTGATTAACTTTTTAAAGTTTACTCATAAAGGCCCACAGCAGCACTAAAGGGTGGCATGAAGGTGGACCTATACAGCTCTCATCTCCATGAGCAGTCCCTAAAGAAATGGCATCTTGCCGAAACCGATTTGGCTCAGTGGATAGAGCGTCGGCTTGCGGACTGAAAGGTCCCAGGTTCGATTCCGGTCAAGGGCATGTACCTGGGTTGCGGGCACATCCCCAGTAGGAGATGTGCAGGAGGCAGCTGATCGATGTTTCTCTCTCATCGATGTTTCTAACTCTCTATCTCTCTCCCTTCCTCTCTGTAAAAAATCAATAAAATTTATTTTTAAAAAAAAAGAAATGGCATCTTAGTAAACTCAAGACAGGTCCTAGTGCCCATGGCCAGCAACACCACCAGCTCTGAAAACCTGTGTAGATGTCCTGTAACCTTCATTTAGAGAACAATGGTGATTCACTGGCTTTTGAAGCACAATACAGTCCAGTGGTCAGCAAGTATCCTATCTAATAAAGAGGGAATATGCTAATTGACCCCCAGGCCATCACAAATGGCAGCACCCACAGCCAATAAGGAGGGAATATGCTAATTGACTGCCCTGCCCTCAAAGATGGCGGTGCCCACAGCCACAAGATAGCGGCGCCCAGTCCCCTCAGCCCCCCAGCTTCCCAGGGCCGGCCCGAGCCACAGGCAAGCCTCGGATGGTGGCTGTCCAGCTGCCCAGGGCCGCCCGAGGCTCAGGTAACCAGGGCCAGCCGAGGTTTGCGCTGCCGGCAGTGGCAGCTGCAGAGGTGTGATGGGGACTCGCCTTCCCCTGATCGCCGGGTCGCCTTCCACCCCTGAGTGTTCCCCGACTGTGAGGGGGGCAGGCCGGGCTGAGGGACCCCCCTCCAGTGCATGGATTTTCACGCACCGGGCCTCTAGTAACCATAATAAAAACCCTTCACTTGGGTTAAAAAGCTAATGCAAACTGAATGGGAGAGTGTCCGTGGGAAGGCTGAGGGGCTCCACGGGAATGTGAACATGCGCCATCACCCAGCTTTCTCCACGCATTTATAAGCTAACACACTGAATGTTCTGTTTGGGTTATTGTGTTTGGGCTCAGGGTACAGGTTTTAAAAACAGGCACTCCACCCAGTGCTAACGAGAATGTGAGGGGCTGGAAACATAGAGAGGTTTTAAAGAGGACTGTCCAACAGGAAAAAAAGGGGGGGATGGGACGGGGGAACCTGGTGTTTTTAAACCATTTGAAGAACTGCAGAAAAACCATGAAACTTAATTTAGCTCCAGAGGGCAAGCCTCTGGCGGTAGAAGGAAACAAGTTAAACTCACTGTCAAGAACTTGGTAATATTTAAAGCCAAAGGCGCATGGTGAATTCTGGCGTTCACTAAGGCCACCTGGTTCACCAAGGCCACCTGGCCCCATCCGTGGCCTCCTGGTCACCTGTCAGCAGGGATGTCTTGGGTTTGCGCTGGGAATACCCGGCACAGGGAAGGAGACTCCCTCCTGAGCAGTAGCACCAGGGAACGGCCTGCCCAGGGAGAGGCCTGTCATCCCAGCAGGAATGGGCTGCAGGTGACAGGGGCAGAGGTTTCTGTTGTTGGCAGTGGCCCTCTTTGTGTAGAAGGCCCCTGCCTATGCCAGGGAGGCAGGCGGCGCACCCAGCGGGCTTCTCTCCTTCTTCCCTCTGACCTCTGGCCTCTGAGGCCAACCTTTCCCTAGGATCCTCCCACGCTCAGGCTGCAGCTGCCTGCCCTGAGCTCTCAGGGCGTCTTGGGCGCAGGGGGCACCCGGGGGCATTAGGTGCAGGGGTGCACTGGGCGCAGGGGGGCGCGTTGGGCGCAGGGAGCGCACAGGGGACATTGAGCGCAGGGGGCGCCTGGGCGCTGGGGCGCGGCCGGGAGGAAGTGCGGGGCCTGCCCGGGCTCGTTAAGGAAGTTGCCCAAAATGAGGAAGCGCTGCTCTCTGGGCGGCTGAGGCGACTCAGGCGGCGGGAGGAGCGAGGAGGACCTCGCAGCCCGCGCTGCTCCGGGACAGCCCCAAGGACCCACCGCCCGCGCCCGCCACCCGCCGGACCCCGCGCCGCAAGGCCCGCTGCACAGGTAGGAGGCGCGCTCCCTGCTCGCCTGCGGGGCGCGGGACCCGACGCCTAGGGACAGGGAAGGCGGCGAGCGCGGGTTGGGGGGCAGTCGCGGGCCCACTCGGCCGGTTTCGGGGTGACCGGCGCTGTGCCAGGGACGCTCGGAGCCCTCGGCCCTGGGACAACGGGACATTGATGAGATAGAAGCAGGGGGCGCAGCCTTTTGTCCTGATCCTGGAGCCTCCGGGGTGCGGCTCCCGCACGGGAGCGGGGCCTGGGCCCAGGGACTTTGCGGGAACTGGGGACCCAGGGTCGCAGCGGAGACGGTGCGGAGGCAGCGGGTCCTGGGAGCGCGAGCAGGATCCGCGGGCACGTTTTCGTTCGGCCACTGACCTGACAGCCTGGCACATCCCCTGGCGCTCACCTTCCAGTTACTCCCGGGCGCTCCGGTTCCGCGCCCCTTCCCGCCGCGGGGGGCGCAGGGCGCGAGCGCAGGAGCCTCCCCGACCTGCTCGCGTTTAGAGCGGCTGCTCCTTCCCCACGCGTTTTCATGGTAAAGCACCTTATTTGCCAGTGAGTGGTGGGAGAGCAGGCGAGTTTTATGTAGTAAAACGTAAATTTGAGCTAATTTTTTAGAAACTGAACTGAATTCAAAGGCGATTCATGTTTGTTTGTTTGTTTGGATGTTCAAAAACCAGAAAGACAGTCATTGGAGACATAGAGTTTGAATCTTCCCACGTTGGGAACGGTGTTGGGGATTGTTTTAATGAGTTTGCTTGACTCGCATAGATTTCATTGAGCCAGAGTTAAACTGTTGGCTGGCGGATTGCGTTTTTCTTAAAGCGGCAGAGCCGTTCAGCTTGTAGTTAAGAAGAAGTCTGACATTTGAATCTTCATAATGAAAAGCTAATCATGCGACGACGGAGAATTTCTGGAAGCAATGAAATCGACTATACTAACTGATTTCTTTGTTTTAGTCAGAACAAATTCATCGGTATCATACTGGAAGCATTTCAGTTAAATGCAATTAAATTCATTAATGGTCCCTTCACACCCTCCCCCCAAGTGCATGGATATATTTGTATTTGAGCTAAAAGTGAGGAATCTGGTCAGTTAAAATTATTTTATCAAATCATTTTGTTTCTACATCATACTTTTTATGTTTAGAGAAATTTTGCAGTAAATAGAAATTGATTTGTTACTCTGTAGTGCTCAGATATATCGGATTATATAGTTTAACTAGAATGTTTTAATGTTTAAGCTAAGCTAAAAAATTAGGTGTGTATTTTAGGTCTTTGCCTTTCCTGAGGGATGAAATTGACAGATCATTTCATTGCTAGGTTTGCATTTCAGAAATACCACCTTGGCCTTCCTTAGGCTCATATTTAATTTTATAAGTGCAGATCTACTTTCTCTGTTTTTAAACCAAAGATTTCTTAGTAGGACATCACTTATGCAGCACATTGCATGTCCATAATCATTATTCAAGACCCTTGTGCTCAGATAAGTTTTTAACTCAGGACTTTTCAGAATTTAGAATTCAAATTTAGAATGTGAATGTCAGCGCTGAGAACGTCTGTGAGGACTTAGAAAGGTGCGTGTGCGTGCTGACACCTCGCCCCAGCACAGCGGCCTGGGACCCCAGATCTCTCTGCACCTGCGCTGTGAATACTCTCATCAGGTGCCATAAATAACAACTATAAATAGCTGTGTGTCGGTTAGGGCAGGCATGGTCACTAAATGAAGGTCCCCAAAATTACTAAGAAACCTCCTTATTTAGAGCTTTTTGGAGCTGGGCTAAAGAACTGACTCCATCAAGCTACTGTGCTTTGGGAAACAAATTGCTTTTCTATTGCCCAATCCTCACCCTTTCCAGTAATTAGACAGGCAATTTCCCCTCTGCAGATTCTGAAATACCAGGACTTCACTGAACTTTCAATGATAACCATTAGTATACGAGCCTGCAAGTGAGAATGGGAGGTATATCCTTACTGATACACGTTGAAGCAGCAGCTTTCCTGCCAGTCTAGGATTGCAGAGCGAAAGTACAGCTCCCGGCAGGGGCGTGGTCACCCTCCGGAGGCAGGAGGCAGTGGCCCTGGGAGCAGAGCTGCCTCCTGTCCATGTGCAGCTGGCTCTCCCGGCCCTGGCACGGGACCGGGACCGGGGCCCTGGGCTCTGTCAGCCCTCCGCCCCACCCGCCATCGGTGCCCAAGGGATGGCAGGCGCTTTTCATAATCGGGGCTAATTTTTGCTTTTTTAACTGTAACTGTAGTAGACTTTTCCTAACTACACCCGGACTCACCTCTTCTCCCCGCCTTTGCAAGTTTTAACATTTTCTTCCACTTTTGGAATTGTTTAGCTATAAATGAGTGGAGGAAAAATTAGGAATTTAAGCCTTTGGGGAGAAATTTTCTTAAATGTCTACATCCTTAACTTTCTTTTTCATAGAAAGCAATTGCAGTCAAAAGGCAGTCTTTTAAAGAGAGAGTGGAATGAAATCGCCTGATGTGTCCTAGCATCTTATCCTTCTACTTCAGCGGTTCTCAACCTGTGGGTCACCAACCTGTGGGTCGCGACCCCTTTGGGGGTCAAACGACCCTTTTACAGGGGTCGCCTAAGACCATTGGAAAACACATATATAATTACATATTGTTTTTGTGATTAATCACTATGCTTTAATTATGTTCAATTTGTAACAATGAAAATACATCCTGCATATCAGATATTTACATTACGATCATAACAGTAGCAAAATTACAGTTATGAAGTAGCAACGAAAATAATTTTATGGTTGGGGGTCACCACAACATGAGGAACTGTATTAAAGGGTCGCGGCATTAGGAAGGTTGAGAACCACTGTTCTACTTTGATTTGAACGGGTTGGTTTCTTTTCACTTGGAAAAGAGTTTTTATTTTTTTAACTGAAGAATTGTGAGAAGATTGAAAAAATAAAACTAGGCTGATTAAATTTTAAAGGAAAATTTTATTCAGGGAAATTTTCTGTTAGCTTATAACTTTGTCTGACAAAGTTATCTTGTATCAATTTGAATTTTTTACCCTTAATAATTAATTATGTACTGTTTGCCTATGAAACTTGAAAGATAGTTGAATTGGAATCTTAAGTATAATCAAATTTAGCCAAGGTAATACATACCAGCAGGAAGAACATTCAGTTTATATAGCAGTGGATTGAACAAATAAAAAATGACTCTCTTTTGATTCTTTCATTTCTTGGAGAAACCGTGCATTTATTTTTGGAAGCTGCCTAAGGTGGGTGATGAGAAGAGGAAGGTAGCAAGGATTTAGAATATTGGTGATGCCTCCATGACACAGGAGGGTGTCCTGATTAAGATGGGCAGGGTGTGGGGAGCAGCCTCCTCTGTCCTGGGGTACCAGGCTCTGAGACGGAGTCCTTGCTCCTGAAGCTGGTGGCTGGAGGACTGGAGGGAGCAGGGATGTGGGGTGCTGGCTTCCAGACGGGCATGCTGTGTGTTGGAGACCTGGTCTGAGTGGAGGCCCAGCAGGAGCCGGCAGCAGCCACGGGGAGCATGGGCTGCGGTCAGGGTGAGACCCAGGCCTGGCTGCAGGGTGTGGAGGGTGGAAGAGGCCTGAGGCAGGAGGTTCAGCAAAGGCCTGAAGCGTTGGATTGTGGGGTGACACTCTGTAGCTACAAAGAGCATTTGGATGTCCAACGCGTGACCTTCTGCTTTCTCACTTTGTCTTAATTGATAAATCTTCATTCTGTTCTGCCCAGTATAATAATTTAACTTATTAAATCTACCCATTTCTGTTGAGCTGTCATGGAAATGTTTTGGTACGACCAGAGTAAATTTGTTTTTTACTTAATTTTATTTAATAACAATACTTTCCCATTCTGTAGTACTGTTCCCCAAAAGCAGTCTTTTAAATTTTTATTGCTCTTTCTTCTAGAATTCTCCTCATTTTCGTATCCTATGCTTATTTGCTTATGTTTGGCTGTATCAGTTTTAGACAATGTCTGCCGACTTCCTTCTGGGAAACGGGCTGCGGCCGTCCTCGGCTGGCCACCGCCGGGAGGAGCACTGGGGAACGGGCCGTGTGCTATCGGGGTGCACGTCTTATGCTCACTTTTGCCGCTAAAGCAAGGGGTGCCATATCATCCCATTTTCCTGGTCTCCTTGTGACTTTTCCTGGGTAAATGCTGTGTGCTCTGTGTTCTCAGGGGTCCCGTGCCTGTTACATGAGTCTCCCCGATGCTCTGAGACTGAGCTCAAACTCTTGACACAGCTTCCCACTGAGTCAGACCAAACAGCCTATCAGTTCCACTTTTCTCTCTGCTTTTCTGGACCCCCCCCCCCGCCCCGTCTTCTTGCTCCAGTCTGATAGTTTCTCTTCAGTCTCGCTGCGCACACACTAATAATGAAGCACTGGTTGGTGTGTGTGGGGACTGGCTGTCTGAAAGCATTTCCTGCCAGTTACTTAGGAAGCCTTTGCTTGACCTGTGGTGTCTTAGCCCACCTCCCACTGCACTGAGGTGCACTTTCCCTGCTGTGAATCCCTTGTCATCATTGATGGAAACACCTCCCACCCTTAGGATTTCTATGGTTATTTATTTATTTGTAGCGTAGAACTTTTCTATTTCTTCCATCAGAACAGGACCTGACTCATAATAGTGAAAGATGATTTTTAACTCCATTTTAGCCATTGGCGTCTCCATTTAAAATCAGGCTCAATGTCACCTCTGTATTTGTCTGACAATGATGTTTTATCATCTGATTGTGGGACTTTGTACTTTCCGGGGAGTGGCGAGTCCGGGCTTTCCCAACAGCTGGCCGAGGCTGGTCCCAGAGCAGTGAGTGGGTGAGCGGGCGAGCAGTGCTGTGCAGTGGTGGATGGTGCTCTGGGGGAGCAGCCCTTGCTCCAGTAGGTGGAGTGCTGGGAGCACCATCGCCGAGCAGGGTGAGCACAGATCATGCGGCAGGTCCTCAGCGCCGTGTGCGTGATGTGCACGGGCCGTGTCCTGTGGGCGCGCTGGTTCTG